TTAAAAAATCCGCACATAATAATTAAACATATAGTTCATAACTATTGTTTGATTTTATTAGAGTGTTGATCACCCTAGTATTCCGCTCGCCAAAGTACCCAGCATGACAAATAAAGTAAAATATTATTATACATCATGTGATGTCTAATACTCATACTTTGGCGAATGAAATACGGTATATGTAAAATTTATATTTAGATTTACATTAACTTAATAAATAACTTTCAGTTCCCGTGGGTACTAGGAAAAAAACACTGGCTAGTTTTTATATATAATTAATTTAACAGATGTGATGCTAGCACGACAGCTAAACATAACATTCATAATATATCGCAGATCACAATTGTTAACAATAGACATATAAATAGGAGGCAATTCCCAAGCGCAAACAGAGTAAATTATAACCATAGATTTATAGTAATAATAAAATAAAAATAATGAGAAATATGCAAAATCTTGTTCAAAAACTTAAAAAATCAAATTATCTCGTTACTACCATCGAATCTTGTACCGGAGGACTTGTTGCAAATCTTATTACAGACATTTCAGGATCAAGCAAAGTATTTTGGGGAGGCCGAGTAGTATATGATAATGAAACCAAAGTAGCCCTAGGAGTTTCACCATCTATACTTGAATCTTATGGAGCGGCATCACAAGAAACAGCGTTCTCTTTGGCAGAAAATGGGCTTGTTGAATTGCAAAAATCCTCAAAGACACCTTCCAAACGTATGATTTGTATTGCCACCACAGGGCTTGCAGAAAGAGACGAAGAAAATAGAAATTTTGGAGGGGTTTGTTGGATCGGAATAGCATCAAACTGTAGTCCAACATTCGTTGAACGAGTAGATGCACCTCCTCAAATTTCAAGAAAAGAGACAAAATTATTATTTGCTAGACGAGCACTTGAGCTGTTAGAAAGTTTCGTTATCGTTAATGATTTACCTTAATAGAAACTTTAATAGTTTAATTTGTCTCCTTAACAGTTTAATAATAGTCATATGTGAAATATTGACCATGTGATATGTTATTTGCGAATTAATATAAATATTTACTAATATTGTAACGGAAAATTTTAATTGTAGAATTAGCGTTCTTGATGTAATCTTAAAATATACATTCTTGATATATCAAAAAAAACAAATTATTAAAAGTACGATCTTTAAAAGAATTTATCAATCATGTAAAGGATATAACTACAAAGTTGTGCTAAAACATTTAGATCAACATGAATAAAAATCCAGTTTATATGTATCTGTGAAAATTATTTTCTGAAATATCAATCTTCATATTTTTGTCATGACTTTTATCGCTATGAAAAGTTTTTTAACTGTAGTATTAGGGATTCCCTTAGCAATTCTGACAGCCCTTTGTCCGATTTTAGGTAGGTTAGCGCTATTCTTAACATTTTCAAGAGAATGTATATAATTATTTATAATAATAATAATAAAATGTTTATCCAAAATTATTATTTTATTTTTTTTATTTTTTTATTTTTTAGAAATCGTCAAGTACAATATTTTTCAATCAGATGAAGATGGACTTAAATTTAATAGCAAAATTATTGAATATTTGTAAGAAAAAAACTAACGTCCAATATTTTTTATAACAATATATTGGTATATCAAATTATACAAAGAAACTTACAAATATATCTATTTTATAATAGTTATTTGGCAGCAACGCTAATAATTCCTGGTGAATTTCAATATTGGAACTCGTGATAAATCGTGATCGTTCATTCATTTATTTCTAAAAAATTTTTTTTTTTTGACATTCAGGTACATTGATCATAACTGGAATCGGTCACCGGATAAAACATCTTGCGGAAAAGTTCAATAAAGAATTGCTGTATTTATCCTTTATTATTTATTTTATTTTCTTTTTATCACATTAACTGAAAATTCATTATTGTTATCTCCTAAAGTTTTGTGCTCGTATACTGGACGATCATTGCAAGTAAGTAATGCATGCTCACTATTATTCCTTTTTAACTATACATCATAACTATAATGATTCTCGAAAAAATAAAACAGTCATCTATACGATCGTAACTAATGGAGAAATTGAAGATGTTCCATTCACATGTCCCGAAAATTATGATTATAAATCTCCAAATATTCGTAAAGCCTGTTTTGTTCGTTCCGCTAATTTGGTTTGTATGTGGTTGTTCGTGGGTTTTGCTACTCTTTGGGAAATTTCTGGCTGTTTTGGTATTGTTTCAAAAGTCGAAGATTTGGAATATACCTTCCTCGAACATGAGCCTGAAGAACGCGCTCCTCTTAATGTTTGAAATCTTATTCCTTTGTATTTATTTCATATATTTATGCATTATAGTCAGGAATAATAAAGAATCTTATTACGAAATGTAGTTATCGTATAATAATCTTAAAATTTTACTGGAATATTGTGATACAGTATAATTGTAATAAAAATTCGGCGCATGTCTGTTGCCTCTTTGTTATTACTATCGCTACTATTTCGACTGATTTTTCACCTAAAAGGGATTCTGACGTTAGGTCCATCTTCCAAGTATGTACTAAATTATTCATACATACATACATACGTACGTACTTTACCAGTCGACTTAACTATTATCATTAGCCAGACTTCTGATTAGTGCTTGCTAAGTGGGCTAAAATATATCAATATGATGCATCAATACGTAGAAACGCGCCAACCGTTTTTGGCCTTGAATAAACCAACGAAAATACAGTATATAGATATCATTTGGTTAAGTTTTCGTAGTTATTTTGGTTCAAAGTTTCAATTTATTGACTTCATAATTATATTTTCATATTCTAGCACCTAAAATAGAATTAGCACTATCACGACAACCACATAACTAAATTCAACGAAAATAAAATAAAATTTTATCAATTTTATTTATTTAGTTGGGTAATTATTTTTGAACTCGGACCAATATGATAGTTATGTAATGGAATGATATTACGTCGTCAAATTAGCAATTCTTTGAATGTGTGCCAGGTTGATACGCATTACCCAGCCACAATGATCTCAGTATATACAGTGCTTTCTTTTTCAACGAAAATGTGTTTCATCAACCGTCCTGTACTTTGAATGTTTTCTATATTTCTTTTGTGAATTGAAGACATATCAGAAATAATATAATTTTTAAAATTTTAGTTCGTTCATTACAAAAAACCATTATAAAGGGCGTTGACCATACTTAGTATGTAATTAAAGTACCGTAAAATCTTGAAATAGCGGGCATGGGCGCTATTTCGAATCTTGGCCCGAATTAAGCCTCATTCGGGCCGAAAATTGTAATTTCACCCCTGCGCGTTATTTCGAGATTTTACGGTATATTACGATAATTTCGGAAGCATGTAAGGTTAACAAATTAAAAATTTAGTTTTAAAAGTGAACCATCTTTAACATTAAGGAACACTACTACTATTTTTTTTTAAAGATACAATTCAGCGCAGATTATGAGAAAAGTTTTTTTTCATTTAACGAATTTTTTTTTATTTGAGATTTTTTTATCATACTTTTAAAGCCAATGTTTTCTATACGCGTTTTGATCTGTAAAAATTTTGAAAATTATAATTTATAAACATTTTTTGAATTCAAAACAATAAAATTAGAAGCTAAAGATTATAAAAAAAGGAAATAACGTTAAAAAATGGTGTTTTCGTTCTATTAAAATTTATAATTTTATTATTGTTATCATTGGAATTTTTTAATTGGAGCAAATTATTTGGACTGATTAATGCGCTACTAACCTGGCACGCATTCAAGAATTGCACAAATGTTAGCTCTGCAAAAACGTATTTATCTCAAAATTTAGATCAGTAACCCGCTTTTTAGGTTTAACAAGAAAAACTTACTCACGCTTTTGCTTTACTATGGCTCACTCAAACCTAGCTTATACCCGAACTAGTGGTGTGGTTGCATTCAGGTAATTAATTACGACCGAAACTTGTGAAGTTGCAACTTTTTGGTAGTAACTCCGGCCATACTAAAATACTATGTCATAGATCGTAATTATTTAGTTTGTAGTATTTTATTCGTTGGACCATAATTCTGGTGATAATGTTAGTAATAAATCAAATAAACTATGTGTACGTAATTGACTTATGACCTATGTAAATACCAAGGTATATAATAAAATTTTATCTTTCAAAAAAAAACAAAAAAAAAACAGCACCTAATAATACTGTATTTATTGGAAAGTACTAAGAATCAAAATAGTACATATAAATTTTCGGCCTAAAATTTGTGCTAAACATACGATTTATATCGATACTACCGTAATTAAAATCAAATGTACCGTACATCAAAATTGCAATATTATATTTTTGAAAAATAATTTTTTAAAGAACAAATAAAACTAATAATTATTATCTTTACTATATGGCACACTTTTTCAATTCAAATCCGAAGCACTTATTTTATACTTATGAGAACTAATGTTCGGATTCGGATTAAAAATAGGATTTAGCTGAAACCGACTGAATCCGGAGCCAATACGAAGTATTTAATGGCTAAATTTTTATCTTGGTCGACTTGGAATTTATATATTAGTGCAACGTGAAAGAAAAAGCTGAACTCAAATCTCTAAATTAGGCTTAATACGGGCAATCCAAAACTTTTGGCCCAAACCGATTTTATGGTTCGGATTGGATGATAATCCGAATCTGTCGTATCCAGATTATTCGGAACACTAATGAGAACACATATATTAATTTACTGTTTTCAAAAATTTTTGATAGTGAACAGTAAAAAATTTTATACCGTGCACAAATTTATAGTAGTGTTCTCATGAGAACTCTGAGAACATTAATTCCAAACACTGTACCCACTATTTGTTAGAACAACTTACCCATACTTGCTAATGTGGTATAATCATCTCAATAATGTTATAAAGAAGTAATCTTTAATTATATCTATTAAATACAGAAATTATAAAATTAATCTTTAATTCTACGCAGAATATATAAAATTTATAATAAAAATTTATTTAATATATACGGAATTTATACAAAATCTATCTTTAATTATACTTATTGTATTTAAAAAATAAAATTTATATCATTAATAAAAACTTTTCATATAAATATTCTGTATAAGTGATACGGAATTCACAAAAAATTTCAATATTGATTCAAGATAATTTCAGCATAAATATATATATATATATATATATTATAGGACAATATGACTTCAACTTTCATCATCAAACAAAAAATGCTTCATTTAAAAATTATAATTATAATTCATTAACATAATTGCATTGCATTAACATCAAGATCGCACATTTTCGAATCTATGACATGAATACAATAATTAATTAAATGAAACTCTAAGTGAATATTTCTCAAAAATATTTAAAATTACATTACCTCTGAATTTAGCTGATTCATACGCTAGTCTAATTTCTTTAGTTTTTATTGGTTTACTAATATACATCGAGCTTTGATAATTTGGTAAAATAAACTGCATTGATTTGATCTCGTCATTAGCAGAAATAAAACTCCTCTTGATATCAGATTCTTCACTAGATATTGAGAGATCCATCAGAATCATGCGCCATTCTGAAAGCTTTGAGTTAATATCTTTAGCACTAGGTCGATTACGTGGGTCGGAATCAATGCATTTCTTAGCTAATTCAATATAACATCCAGGCGTTCTTTTGGAAAATTCAGGTCGTAATCCTTTACAAATATTCACTGTAAGTGCATAGTCGAAAGGAGAATCACAAAAAGGCCTTCTTCCAGTTGACAATTCTGTCATGATAATACCTATGCTATATATATCAGATGCTTGTTTATATTCTTCACCTAATAAAATTTCTGGTGCAATATATGGCATGACTCCATAGACATCGCCTTTTGAAGCTGATTCTTTTAGATTCTTAGATAATCCTAAATCGGTGATAAAGGACTTTATAAAAATACTTTTATATTGATGTAGCAAAATATTTCCACTATGAAAATCACAATGAACATATCCTGAATC